ATCAAAAAAGTAGAAAGATCTCAAGTAAACAACCTATCACTGAACCTCAAGAAACTACAAAAAAGAACAAACTAAACCCCAAATTAGTAAAAGAGAAGAAAGAAGATTAGAGCAGAAATAAATGAAATGGAGACTAAAAAAAGTACAAAATATCAATGAAACAAGAGCAGAATCTTATAAAAGAAGGTAGACAAACCCTTAGTTGAGACTAAAAAAAGGATAGAGAAGTCAAATAAAATAAGAAATAGGGAACTAATATCACAGAAATGCAAAAGATCACTAGAGATTATGAACAACTATATGTATCAGTAAATTTGATAAGCTAGAAGAAATTGACAAATTCCTAGACACTCACACCTTACCAAGCCTAAATAAATCATGAAGAAAAAGAAAAACTTATCAAACCAATAACAAGTATGTTAATAAAAAAAACAATAACAAAAAGCCTCCCATTAAAGAAAAGCCCAGAACCAAATGTCTTTACTGCTGAATTTTGCCAAAGCTTTCTTTTCTTTCCTTTTCAAACTGGGGTTTGAAATCAGGGACTTGTGCTTGCTGGGCAGGCACTCTACCACTTGAGACGTGCCCTTCTCAGCACCCAAGTCCTTCTTTAAATACCAATTTGCCTCGTTAGGAGAGGAAGAAATTCTTTCAAACACATTCTACAAGGCCAGCATTACCCTGATACTAAAACCACAGAAGAAGAAGAAAAAAAAATAAAAAAAACAATAGGTCAATATCTTTGATGAACAGACACAAAAATCCTCAGCAAAATACTAGCAAACTGACTCGAACAGGATATTAAAAAGATATTTACCATGATCAAGTGGGATTCATTCCAAGGATGTAAGGATAAATATACACAAATCAATAAATGTGATACACCATATCAACGAAATGAAGGATAAAAGCCATATGGTTCTTTCAGTAGACACAGAAAAATCATTTTATAAAATTCAATATCCCTTCATGATAAAAACGCTGAAAACATCAGTTGTATCTCAACATAATAAAGGGCATTAATAAGTCAAAAGCTAACATTATGCTGAATATGGGAAATCTGAAAGCGCTAAGATCTGGAACAAAACAAAAAGGCCTACTTTCACCACTTTGATTCAACATTGTTCTGGAAGTCTGAGAGCAATCAGTCAAGACAAAGAAACAAAGGGCATTCAAATTAGAAAAGAAGTCAAACTCCACTGTTTGTAGATGATCTTATACAAAGAAAAACCCCCAAAGTATTATAATTAATAAATGAATTCTGCAAAGTTGTAGGATACAGAAATAGCATATAAAAATCAATGGCATTGCTACATGCCAATAGTGAATTATCTGAAACAGAAATCAAGAAAGCAATCCCGCTTACAATAGCTACAAAAAATAAAATGCCCAGGAACAAATTTAACCAAGCCGGGGAAAAATCTCAGCAATGGAAATTGTAAAAATATCGATGAAGAAACTGAAGAGGACACAAAAAAATTGGAAAGACATTCCCATGTTCATGGATTAGAAAAAACAGTTTTAGGATATTCACACTGTACACAGTGACTTATAGATTCAATGCTATCTTTATCAAAATACCAATAACATCCTTTACAGAACTAGAAAAAATTTCTAAAATTTATGTGTAATCACAAAAAACTTTGAATAGCTAAAGTCATCTTGATTTAAAAACAAAACAAAACAGAAGGCATTACACTATCTGACTTCAAAACATATTACAAAACTGTAGGAATCAAAATAACATAGTATTGGTATAAATAAAGACACATAGACAAATGGAGCAGAATAGAGAGCCTAATGAACATAGACACAAAAATCCTCAACAAAATGTTAGACCTATGCATCTACAGTCAGTTGATTTGCAACAAAGGTGCTAAGAACACACACTGGAGAAAGGACCATTAATCTCCAATAAATGGTGCTGGGAAAATTGGTACTTACATGCAAAAGAATGGAAGTGGACCCTATATCTCTCACAGTTACAAAAATCAGCTCAAAATGAATTAAAGACTTAAATGTAAGACCTGAAACCAGGAAACTACTAGAAGAAAACACATGGGAAATGCTTCAGGACATTGGAATGGGCAAGGATTCTTTGGACAAGACCCCAAAAGTACAGGAAACAAAAGTGAAATAGATAAATGGAATTATATCAAATTAAAATGCTTCTGCACAGTAAAGAAAACAATGAACAGAATGGAATAAAACATTTGTGAAATGTTCATCTGACAAGGACTTGATATCCCAAATATATAAGAAGCTCCAAAAAAAAAAAAGCCCAAATAATCTGATTTAAAAATGGGCAATAGATCTAAATAGAATCTTTTTTTTTTTCTTTTTCTATTAGTGGGACTGGGGTTTGAACTCATGGCTTCACGTTTGCAAAGCAGGCTCTCTACCACTTGAGCCATACCCCTAATAGATATTCTTCAAAAGAAGACATACAAATGGTCAAGAGGTACATGGAAAAAATGCTCAACATCACTGCCTATTAAGGAAATGCAACTCAAAACCACAATGAGAAATAAACAATATGAGCCAATCATATTGGCTATTATCAAAAACATGGGGATGTGGAAAAAAGGGAACTCTTGCACACTGTTGGTAGGAAGGTAAATTATGAAAAGTTCCTCAAAAAATTAACTGCCATATTTAGCAATCTCATTCCTAGGCAACATATCCAGTGGAAACGATGTCAGCAAGTCAAAGAGATATCTGTATTCTCATGTTCACTGCCATACTAACCAAGAAATGGGAACAATCTCCGTGTCCAACCAAAAAAAAAAAAAAAGGAATGAAATCATGTCACTTGGGACAACACAGATGGAGCTGGATATCATTATAGTAAGTGAAATAACCCAGCACAGAAATATAAGCATCATATTTTACTCACATGAGGAATCTAAAAAAATTGACCTCATAAAATATTACAGTAGAATGGTGGTTACCAGAGGCTGGTAATACAGGTATATGCTGATTTATAGTAGAGATGAACAATAAGTTCTGGGGTGCTATTGCACAGTATGGTGATTATAGATAACAATAATACACTATATACTTCAGAGAACTATAAGGAAGGATCTTGAAGGTTTTCTCCACAAAGAAAATAAATGTTTGAGCCAGGCATGGTGTCTCAAACCTGCAAATCCTGCTACTTGGGAGGACTGTTGTTTGAGGCCAGCCCAGGCAAAAAGTTTGGGAGATCCCCCCATCTCAACCAGTGGCTGTGTGTGATGGTGCATGCCTGTCATCCTAGCTATGTGGGAAGCATAAATAGGAGTGTTGTGGTTCAGGCATAAAGTGAGACCCTATCTCCAAAATAACCAGTGTAAAAAGGGCTGGCAGAGGTCCAGAAAGACAAAAATCACATGTCTTCTCTCACATGTGTAAGACAGATCCAAATACAAATATAAACATTATCATATATACATACATAAAACATATACATATATATGTGTTATATATTCATATATATGTATATATAAAAATGCATATAACATGTTTCCAAAAGCGGGACTGTTAGAGACTAGGGGAGGAGGGAAAGAAGAAGAGGATGACAGAATGAATAACATTAAAATACATCACATCTGTATAGGAACAAGACACAACAAAATGCATTGAAAACTGCTGATTAATAGAGGGTAGGGGGAAAGGGTAAGGAAGAGTAATACAGGGGCTAGACTAACTAAAGCATAATATATTTACAGGTAAAATACCAAGGCAAAACTCCACTGAGCAATCAACAGACACTTGAACAATAAAGGACAGAAATGTAAAACAGGCAGGAGGTAAAGGGTAAATGAAGAGGGTAAAGGATAGTCAATATGGTTGATGTATTTTCTACATGTGTTTGAATATGGGACACTGAAACCTGCTGAGGTTATTTTAAGAAGGGGGGAGGAAGAGGGAAAATATTGGAGGGGATGAACCAACCTGGGCTACATTGTATGCATATATGGAAATGTCACAATGGAATTCCCTGTAGAAATAATATATATGAATAAAAATGTTTTTTTAAAAAAAGGGCTGGCAGAGTGGCTCAAGTGGTAGCAAGCCTGCCTAGCAGCACAAGGCCCTGAGTTCAATCCCTAGTACCACCAAAACTTAAAAAAGAAAGGAAATATTACAAGATATATGCATGTATTGAATCACTATATGGTACTCTATTAATAAGAAAAATTATTATGCTTTATGTGTCAGTTAAAAATAAACTTAATTAAGTTGGACATGGTGGTACATGCCTGGAATCCCACTTACTCAGGAGATGGAGATCAGGAGGATCATAGTTTAAGGCCAGCTTGGGCCTTAAACTATGATGAGTGAGACCTCATCTTAACAAATAAGCCAGGGTGTGGTAGTACACATCTGTAATTCCACCTGGACAAGTTTCCCAGTATCTTTATGCCTCAGTTCCTCATGTGTAAAATGAGGGTAATAATCATATCTAGGGAAATATTATACAAGAGACTACATTTAAAAATGTCTGGTACATGGCCCTCAATATAAACACTGGTGATGGCAATGATGCAATGATGTGCTGGTACAACAGCACTATTTCTAAACTTTTGGACATTGTGGAGACATGAAGCATTTAAATTATCAGCGCATATTCAATGATTTTGGAAGGATGCTTACTCAAGCTAGTAGTCCTAATTATTGAAATCCACACATTCTTTCCATTACATGTCTTCTAGGTGTGACCACAAACCAGCAAGCCTGATGGCATACACTGTATCTAGAGAAGAACGGAGCAGTGAAGAGCATGGACTCTGCAGCCAAACTGCCCAAGTTCAAATACCATTTTTGCTATTTACTAGCTATATAATCTTAACAATCAGCTAGTATGTGAACATTTTGTACCTTGCTTCAATATGAGCAAGACAAAAATGTAAATTTTGCATTGGATATTTCTAACTGTCCTTGATGCAAAGGCCAAAAGCCTCATCAAAACCCACTCTGACACTGTTTTCTCTGTTTTAAGCAAGGTAACTTCCTACCTGTCATCTGTATTACGGAGGGATGGAAGCCGAAAGCTCGTATTTCTGTCAAGCTTTGACTGGCTTTTGGTCCTCTTGATAGAGCCTTTCAGGCGCTTGCTGAAGAATCCCTAGAATGAAAAGGCAGAAGGTGATGGGAGACAGAACCAACAGGGAGCACGAAATTTGCAGAAGGCATTCAGGTTTTTATGATGAAGGCCTGAACCAGAGCCCAGCATTAAGTTTTTATATTTTGTAAATGATAGTTGCTTGAAACTAGTTGGTAATATGACAACAGAACTTTTTCTACTGTGATAGTTGGGATAATTAAACTTTTTGATAGCACCAATTTATTTATTAAATTGTTTTTATACTAGTTATGGCATAAAAATTTCTAACTTTGCTAAAGGTTTTTAAAAATACAACAGAACATAGACAAACATAGCCCTTCCCATGCAGACGGTATCAGCAATTGTTCTTCTTCACCATTTTTTTTGGCAGTACTGGGACTTGAACTCAGGGCTTCTCCTTTGCTAGGCAGGTGGCTCTATTTGTGAGCCACACGACAGCCCAAAAGAAATATTGAAAAGAATATTAAAAAAAAAAGAAAAGAATATTCAAAAAAAATAGCACCCAGTGATTTCCTAAATTAAGGAAAACAGACAATGACAATAGCACAAACAAAGGCCCTGAAGTGAGAAGGCACCTGGCATATTCCAGGAGCTGACAGACACTAACTGAGAGAACAGACTGAGCTTTATCCTGAGATCGCCCCCACAAAAAAATATGTAAAAAATAATTAACTAAGTAGTACAAAGAAATGTGTTGGTGGTCTCTTTGTATATAGTATTTCTAAAGTTAAACTTTAAATGTAGAAAAACCATTTTAAAATGAAATATAGATTATTTATGAAATCATTAAAGCATCTAGACTTAAAAGACCAAAGAGTTTTATATTTACAGGTGTTACGCCCCTGCTAGCCTCCTGTCACCTCCACCAAACTACCTACAGTTCCTTAAACATATTCCTTCTAGTCTTAGCACCTGGCAATAATGACCATGCAACAAAAGTTTGTTGAATAAACAAATAAATACAAGAATGTTCACTACTTTAAAGAAATTTATAACTCAATTTTCAGCAGATGAAAGAACATCTTATAGAAGCAGCAAAAAGACTAATCCAAAGAAAAAGTTGTAATTCAATGAAAAATATTTTGACACATAAAGTGACTCAAATCACCTTCAGATGTGTATCATTTTATACAAACTATGTACAATAAACATTTATGTAAGGAAGAAAAACTAGGTCAACATGAGCGCTTCAAATCTTTTATATTCCTTTGGTTAATACCAAAACCTGCTGTTATGAGGTCAAGATTGGACTAATCAGGGTAAGCTAGGTTATGCTTATCACTCCCTCCTCCACACCAAACAATACTAGTGACATGAAGCATACTATACGTCTATGAGCAGGTCAACCAAGAAGATGTGGTCCTGCTCTATGCTGTTCTTACTCAGGAACCTGAGCTAAGGAAGGCTCCACTTCTGAGCTTTTACAGTTGCTTCAGCAGGATGAAGGTAATATAACAAATTATCTACAGTCATGTACTCCATAACAATGCTGTAGTCAACAGAAATCCATATATATGATGGTGGCCCCCAAAGATTATAATGGAGCTGGAAAAGCCTATCATCTAGTATTTTTACTGTACTTTTCTATGTTTAGATACACATACTACATTTGACTGAAGAATTCAGTACAGCCAGGAGCAGTGGCTCACACTTGCAATCCCAGCTATGTGGGAGGGAGTTCAGGAGGACTGCTGTTTGAGGCCAGCTGGAGAAAAAAGTTAGCAAGACTCCCAACTCAACAAAAAAGCTGGGCATAGTGGCAAGAACCTGTACTTCCAGCTACATGGGAGGCTAAAGTAGGAAGGATCACCATGTGAGGGCATGGGCAAAAAATATGAGACCCTATCTGAAAAATAACTAAAGCCAGAAAGGGCTGAGAGAGTGGCTCAAGTGTACCATGCCTGCCTAACAAGCATGAGGCCCTGAGTTCAAATCCCATACCTCCAGTTGCCAGTGGTTCAAGCCTATCATTTTAGCTACTTGGAGGGCTGAGATCAGAAGAAATGCAGTTTGAAGCCAGTCTGGGCAAAAGGCTGGGTATGCAGGTGAGAGCCTGTCATTCCAGCTAGAGCAGGAAACATATCATAGAGGATCACAGATCAGACCAGTCTGGGCAAAAAGTGAGACTCTATCTTCAAAATAACCAGAGCAAAAGGTGCTGGAGATGTGGCTCAAATGGTAGAGTGCCTGCCTTGCAAGCACAAAGTACTGAGTTCAAATCAGAAACAATAAAACCCCACAGTATCACCAAAAGTAAAACCTAACCAGGATGAACAAGCTTGTAGCCTCAGACCATTAGGCTATATGAAGCAGCTGAGGTGTGCCGTATACTCTAACACTTTGGTCTGTGTTAGCATACTCTGATGTTAGGACCATGGCAGAATCACCTCATGACATATCTCTCAGAATATATCCCCATCATTAAGTGACACATGACTGTACTAGATTGTTTTTTTTTTTTTGGTGGTATTGGGGGTTGAACTCAGAGCTGGTTTGGTGCTCTATCACTGGAGCCACTCTGCTAGACCAGACAAACATTCATTGCTACCTCTCCTCTTTATTTTTTGTTTTACTGGTACTGGGGTTTCAACTCAGAACTTCATGCTTGTTACTGTACTAGATTTTAAAGCTTCATATCACTTTTGATTTTATTTCACTGAACCAAGAAAAAGAAAAGAAATCACATAACCACACCCAACTTCAACAGGGAAGAGATGCAATCTTACCACATACACTTGTGAGCTAGAAGTATTTGGTCAACATCAGCACAGACAGCCACAGTGCTTTATGAAGCTGAATATCTCTAAAACATGAGGCATTGCTCATTTCATTAGATGAAAATGGAAACAAACTTATCTACATTAAACTATTCAGATGAGCAAAGAAAATGCTTGTATTATATTGTTGTTCTTGTTGCCCAATGAGTAAGTCTAGGGCAAGGGATGTGACTCAACATGCATGAGGTCCTGAGGTCAATCCCCAGCACCAAAAATGTATAAAGTTTCCTCAAAAATATCACATAGGCGTAATTCTCTAAGCTGTTTTATTACTACAGCTTATCTTAGCTTTACAAAGATTGGAAGGAAGAGAAAAAAAGGCTATTTTTAAAAGTTCTGTATTACTTAGAGACAAGTTGAAGGCATGGTTTCCTATACAATCGTAGTATCACTAGGGAGATTTGCTGTTGTTAGTTCTCTAAGGCAAAGGCCTTATTTACTATTTCCTAAGTGACTCATTCAGAATGAGAGACCACATTTACTCATGAATGTGGTTAGCAAACAGACTTAACATTATAGAATTCCAGTACGACAGTTAGGACTGGTTCAAAAACCACTGGTTTAACTTGAGATCCAGCCCAGAGAACTGACCAAATATGACGTATAAATACATTTTTAATAAAAATACAGTTAAACAGCTGACAGAAAATGTCCTAGTGGATGTTCACTTATCTACTACTACTTTAACTTTTTATGGCATTTATTTGATCATACTTCATACTTTAACACATTTACTTAATAAAGTTTATTTGATATGTATTTGTTGTATAGAATGGTACCAGGAGTTAAAAGAGAATCAAGAATAAAACAATCTATACCTTAGAGGAGCTTGTAATTTAATATAAGATTTAGATACTATATGTAAATATATACACAGGATTGTAAGTGGACTGGACATGGCAGATCAAAGAATTGGCAAGCACAAGAAGATATAAATAGAAACCTCTGAAACTGAAAAGCAAATAGAATAAGGACTAAAAGACCCACATAATACCCAAGGACTGTGGGTCAACTATAAAAGGTATAGCATATATATAGTGGGAATACCAGAAGGAGAAGAGAAAGAGAGAGGAACAGAAGAAGTTATCTGAAGCAATAATGACTGGAATTTTACCAAATTAATTTCAGACACAAACCACAAATCCACAGAGAACACCAGAAAGCATATATGTTAAAAACAAAACACAAAACAAAAACAACAACAAAACCACATTTTGGAATATTTCAAACCACAGAAAATCAAAGATTAAAAACTGAGAGGGGCTGATAGACTGGCTCAAGTGGGAGAGCATCTGCCTAACAAATGTGAGACCCAGTTCAAACCCCAGTGCTACCAAAATGAGTGTTTCACTACATAGTAATGTAACATTATATTATGTTTGACTACGTAAGGCAGGCAGCACAAGTTACAGTGGCATCTATACAAATCAAATCTGGTAATAAAATAAAAAATCTTGTTTAAAAAAAATCCTAAGAGAAGCTGGGGTATGTTGGGGGGAGGGGATCATCTTATGTACAGAGGAATAATGATAAAAAAACCCTGCCCTTCAAAAGTGAAGGAGTGAGAAGTAAAGATTTTTTTCTGACAAAAATTGAGAAAATTTGCTACCATAGACTTGCTGGGAAGAAATGTTAAGAGATGCTCCTTAAAGAGAAGGAAAACAATATAGGTAAGAAACTTGGATCTGCATAAAGAAGAGCATTAAAGAAGAAATAAATGAAGGTAAAATAAAGCTTTTTATTTTTCTTATTCTTAATTGATTTTGATGATAATTTGTTCAAGATAATAATAGCAACAAAATATTAGATTATGTATGTATGCTTATAGATAAGTAAAATGAATAACAGCAATAACACAAGAAAGGGGAGGGAGATATAAGGATTATTTTGTTATAAGGTGCTCACACTACTGTGAAGAGGCATACTGTTACTTGAAATGGACTTGGATTAGCTGTACACTTTATAGCATACTCAGCTCTAGGTTCACAAAAAAACTCATGAAAGGACCAAAGATTTCCTATCTCTCCATCTCCCCACATGTATGGCCACTCCCACTATCAACATCCTCCACCAAAATGGGGCATTCCTTATAATTGATGAGTGTGAGTCTACAATGACATTATTATTACCCAAATTCCACAGTTAATATTAGGAGTCACTATTGGTTATGCACTCTATGGTTATGGACAAACACAAATGATATATCCACCATTACAGTATCAT